GCACTCCTGGAGTTGAAGCTATACTGGCCCTCTATGTTTGATACCCTGGGGAGTGAGTCTAGCTTAAGAGTCAATATCATTAGCCAGTACAAGGCTGTATTCAATATAGTTTTCCCGACTAAACTGGATCGGTTCTCGCCAAGGAGGTGTTCCTTCACTCTGATCCCCACATGTTGTAATGAATCACTTATTTGCAAGCTCAATCAACATCCCCACTACTATTATGGTACGTGGCTACCGCGGAATCAAGATGGGACGGGCCGCATAGGACGGTCAACAGCCTGCATAGAGTTTCGAAATGCTAACAGACATGTACAATAGGCGATCCCTGAAAAGGAAGCTGTGAAGGTTGGCTCCAAACTAAGTTCGAACCTGCAGCAAAGCCTTGTAGAGAAGAGAGAAGAGTAAGCAGACCAGCAGAGGTATTCTCGGCTCGGCAGTTGGAAGGTTACAAACCCGAGCACTATGGAAGCATGTGCTGTATCAAACCGCCGGAAGACTCGAGGGCGAAAACATATAAAGGAGCAAGGCATACTTACAGACTAAGTGCTCTCTGCTTTCATAAACGACTAAGTCATACTTGGGAACAAAGATCTGCTTTACCTCTAAAAGAACACTCGTTTTTTCGTTTCCACCCGGCACCAGATTCGCATCATGCATTTCATTATACCTCCCGAGTACCAATCAGAACTAGAAGCAACTGAACCGGTTGACCCTAGACCCGACGAAGAGATTCTTTCCTCTATGGAGCAGTACAGGCCTGTAACATCCGAGAAGAACATCTGGGCTTTTTGGGATTCAGGTCTGTGTGCTATTCCCTCCTGGTGCCAGCGAAATATCATCGGTTGGGCGCGCATTTGCGGGCCTGATTGGACCATCCGAGTGCTTGATATGGTGCCCAATTCTCCCAATCGCGTCCTGAAGTTTGTTGACAGGGAGATGTTGCCTGAGGCGTTCTTGAGCGGAACCATGGATGGTCACCATGCAGGGCAACATTCTGCTGATTTCATCCGGGGTCCACTTCTTCTCCGCTACGGGGGTGTGAGTATGGACGTTGGGTGCCTTCTTATCAGGCACATTGATCGCATTTGCTGGGATTTGCTTGAAGATCCAGATTCGCCGTACAAGATCGCGGTGCCGGTTCTGTATGACCAGACGATCGCGAATCACTTCGTTGCCGCTCGGAAGAACAATGCCTTCATAGAGAAATGGTAAGCATGAATAAAGAAAACGCGATGAACAAGGGGTTAATGATCCATGGCTCAGGCACCAACTCTATATGCACTTGTGGAATGGTCGAACCAACCAGCAAGGCCTCAGCGACAGTCCCCTGCTGGGATTCATCAAAGATATACGCTATGATGACGCCACGGACTTTCACTGGGACTGGAGTGTGCCGGTCTCTCAATTTCTAGAGTACATTGCCCAGGTTTTGTGCTGGCAACGCTTGTGCTTAATCCGAGACACGGGAGATGGCTTCAAAAGTTCTGAATACTGGCAGTGTAACATTCTCTGCATTGATGCGCTCAACGAGGTCTGGGGCGGCGAGAAGATCTTGGGCTTCGATGGCATTGGGCCTCGAATGTACAATCTCTTGACTATTAGTCTTGATGCGGATCCGGATTCGGCAGCCTACAAGGATGCGTACAAGCTCGTATGGCGATTGTTGACCAAATCAAGCTTTCAAAAGGTGACAAGGGCGAAGAATCTGACGCACACACCACATCTCGGAACGTTGTGGGATCAGAACGAGGGACAGGATTGTGTGCCGGGATCATTTGGAGAGCTGCTACGATACGGAGCGGTACACTTCCGCCAGAAGCGTGAGAACATCGAGCAGAAGGAGGCCCGTGAGCCCAGAACTTTCATAGAGAAAAGGCTCTTGGAGGCCTAGATAGTTTTCAACCTTGCATTCTCATAATCGTACGGTGTCACGTTTGAACATTCTTGCCAATACCTTCCACGTGCGAACTCGTGTAAATGTGATAAGTAGATCTTCTACCCCGTTGACTACCGCCCGTCGCGGCCCGTTCCTCTTTTAGAAACACCCCCCGGGCAAAATGGAAACTCTAAAAAATAAAATAATAAAAAAACTCTGTGCTTTCTACTCAAACCCGGCGCTTGCGGCTCAGGCCCGATGTCCGTGCGATACTATTGTCAAGCTTGGAAGCCAACCTCGGCTCCCAGCGTAACACGCCGCTATAGCGAAAAGTTTCATGTATCTAATCTCTGATTATGTACGGTAGGAATACCACCACACAGGCGTTGAATGTAAGCTTTTCGCCACGTCATGCACCACCAAGTTCTCTATGTCGGTAGTTCGGTAGACCAATCAAGGAGGGGGGAGGGTTAGGGACGTTGATTAGCTAGTAAGACTCTACGGCTTCTCGGAAATGAATGCAGATATGCCGGGATGATACCAATGTCTTGTAGCAGCTATTATAATTCTCGGCATCTGCGGCAGGCCACTGCTGTATACCAACTTTAGGCCGATGAATCTTACCTGAGATACGGCCGACGTTGCGTACCAGCTTCTTTCAGGTGCCAAGCTGTTTAGTTACCCAACCATACGTACCTTACCGTGCAGGGTTTGTTGTTGGCAGGATTGCAGGGTGTTCTCTGAGCGTAGTTAGGAGGTCATGTTTCGTACTGAGCAAAAGGGCGGCAAGGCGTATTGCTGTAAGGTTGTATTGATAGCTGCTAGTTCCGCTCTTGTAAATGAGTAAATTAGTGTGTTCTATATACTTGGTTGTTGTATTCACTCCAGGGACAAATACGGATACGAAGCCTAACTTACAATTTATCGTGGAGCATATCAGCATTAGCAAATGATACTTCTTTCTGCTCCTCTCACCTTTCTTGTTCCGATTTATTTTTCCAACAAGCATAAACGCATCATCAAGGATCAACCATGGCTAGTATGACTGATGCCAACATCATCAGAAGCTGCGGCGAATCGTAGGTACATGTTCGACACTGGGTTATCGTGAGCTGACTGCAAACAGAGAATGCATGTGGACCGCCAGTCATGCGCTTGGAATCTACTTCCGCATCTCAAACACGGCCACCTTGACCATTCCAAGACCGCAATTCAAAAATGGCTCTGTGTTACATCTGATACGCACCGCCGTAGCCCAAGTCATGCTTAAGCAGCCGGCAATGAGCGTTGGCATTATTGGAGAAAACTCAAAACAGCCACGATTCATCGCCTTGTCGTCTGTTGACTTTTCAGAACAAGTTGAAAACGCGGAAGCATCGTCTGTCGACTCCGTGGCTAAGAACTTAGAAAAGCTGTTGTTGCAGCCATGGCCCGATCTTTCGAAGCACCCGGGCTGGCACGTTCGGGTCTTCCATGAGCCCAACTTGGCAAATGAGGACTTCTGCCGGCTCCGAATTTGTCTGACCGTCCATCACGCTATCTGCGACGGAGAAAGCACTGCAAAGTTTCACATATCCCTGGTTGACGCTCTTAACAATCCTGATCCCGCCGTGGCGCTGATGATGGACAAAAGTCTTGTTGTGAACTTGACTGACGATCTCTGTGACTACCCTCTCCCACAGGAGAAGCTCATCAACTTCACTGCAGACATCTCCTGGATAGTATCCGAACTCTGGAATATGTTTGCGCCGTCATACCTCAGACCTTCTACATTTCAGAAGTGGGCGGGCGAGCCGTGCAACCCTGGCATTCAAGCCGTCAACATTCGCTACCTTTCGCTGAGTTCCGTACTCACTCAAGCTATAGTTAGAAGGTGTCACGAGGAAAACACTACAATGACCAACCTTCTCAATGCGCTTTGCGCTGCCTCATTAGCGAGACGTGCGCCCCTGACCAAGCAACAAGGCTTTGTCAATCTCACAGCTATCAGCCTACGACCGTGGATTTCCGACAAAGTACACTTCAACAAGACTCACATGTCTAAGTACGCATCATCACACGCGCAGGAAATTGGGCCTAACGTCCTGGCCAAGATTCGACAGGATGGGGATGCTAACGTCTGGAAGCTCGCGGTCGAATTGCGACAGGACATGAAGAGAAGAACAGACAAAATGCCACATAACGAGTTCTCGTACCTTTTCCGTTATGTTGGCGATTGGCGTGATATATTCCAGGCGAGATACGGAAAGCCGAGGCGGGAACTATGGACGTTGAGCAACCTGGGTTCTTTCGCCGTCCCGGCGTCCAAGGGCCCCTGAAATTGGAGAGTGTCTTGTTTGCCCAGTTTGCGCCGGTTCTTAGCTGTGCTCTTATGGTCAATGTTGCAAGCGTTGAGGGCGGAGATATGACCGTGTCACTTGTATGGCAAGATGGAATCCTAGAGACGGAACTCGTACAAGGGGTGAGAGACGACTTGGAAATGTGGCTGCTTCGACTTGGGGAGGAGGGGAAGCTAGGAATTTCTTCATGAATGCAGTATGTGGTCGAGTGAACTCAACTACTATCTGTTCCTCTGGCTCAAATACTTTTCGCGATTTCGGTTTCTAATTGCGTCAATAGCCTGAGGTTACTCTAGGAGTGTGAAGGTTGAGGATTTCACCTTCATCAATAAATCGAGACCTCCTAAGTGGAATATTTAACCTTTCTTTCACCATCAAGCAATTCGGACCCATTGAAGTGGCAGGCGCAGTCAGTTCATGGAAGTTTGAGTTGGAGTCGGAGGCGTACATAAGGTTGTCAATCATATGCCTTCATAAGTTCGACATCATTGCAGCAGGAAAGCAAACTCGTTGAGATGGGCCTTGCGTCTCATAACGCCCAAAGACTTCCTTGCCCTCATTTCAGTTAACGTAGATAGATTTCTCGTACTAGTTAGGAGTGATTGCGCTTTTATGCGGGAGGCCGACCAGCTGAAGAGGGGTTCACCCACCTCACGACGTCGTATTTTCTCCCTCATTTTCGGTTACACAACCATTTCCCCTCTCGTTCATCCTTCTTCTCTCCCAGATCAATCAATACTACAATTTATCCCCCTAAAAATGGCCTGAGACCCTGCGAAGCAATGAAGATCCTCAATAGCATCACGCGTCGCATCCGTCGCCTCCCCTCCGCATTCTCATCCTCAGCCCTCCATCGCACACACTACACTGGCTCCCTCCTCTTCAACCTCGCATCATTCATCCTCCCCGCGCTTTACGGCACTTTATCCAAACTATGGGTCGCAAACATCGACTCATCAATGGTAGTGCTCACCGATGCGTATACGTACATGAACACTGCGTCTGAAGCAGTGAATGAAGGGCTACCGAGGGCTGCATGGGTTATCATTGGAGATAAGGCCTCGCGGTCGCTGGGGAAGCGTCTCCAATTGACACATACTCTCATCGCGTTTCAGTCTGTCATCGGGTTGATACTGAGTATTGTATTTCTTGCTGCTGCGTCGTCTTTTGCGAATAGCTTTGTGCCTGAGGAAGTTCGCCATGCGAGTTTGACTTATGTGCGCATCGCTTCATTCACTGTGTTCAGCGGCACGCTCGAAACTGCAGTGGCGACAGCAACAAGAGCGCTAGACAAACCTGATATTCCACTAGCGATCAGCACCGTCAAGTTTGCGGTCAACATCATCCTCGACTTTCTGCTCATTTCGAAGTTCCACGTCGGTCCTTTCACGCCGACTGTCAACATGCAAGGTACTATTCAGCTAGTCTGCAATCTTGTCGCAGCTTTTGCAGGACTGGTTTATTTCCTTTGGTCGAATACACGGTCGTTCAAGAGACATACGGCACATGATCCCCCAGAGAAGCTGCGTCCTAGCTTTGACGCACTCAAAGTCCTTCTCCCGCCTGGCTTGATCTTCTTCACCGAGTCAGCTGTCAGGAACGCCTTGTACCTCTGGTTGGTTAGCACCATCGTTGCGTTAGGCGCAGTGTATGCTACTGCTTGGGGCGTCTTCAATACCATCCGTTGGGGTCTAATAATGGTCCCAGTCCAAGCCCTGGAGGCAACCGCGCTGCAATTCATCGGTCATAACTGGGGCGATTGGAGAAGACGCGTCGATATCAGCACACGAAAACCTCAAGCGTCATTAAAGGACCTCCGTGGCATCGTACGTCCAGCATTTCGTTCATTAGTTATTGCCCTCATTTTCGAAGTCCCGATAGCCATCTTCCTCACGCTATTTGGAGCAAAGCCCTTTGCGTCATACATTAGTGGTTCAGATGAAGTAGCAGAGGTCACAGCTTCAATGTGGCGAAGCCTGGACTGGTGTTATATCTTTTATGCAATGTCAACTCAACTCGCTACGATTCTTCTCGCAACCCGACCGAGGTGGTATTTGTATCAGAGTCTTGCAAGTAATCTGCTGTATGTGCTGCCTTGGGCGATTGCTTGTCAGGTGGATGACTTGAATGACAGTAACGCGTGGTGGTATTACAAATTTGTGTTTGGGGGTAGTCTCGTGTTCAGTTTTGGGACAATTATGGTTGTGGATTCGCTATGGGCTTGGACGTTATATAATGGAAAGGCTGAGCTAGAGGAGTTCCGAGAGTGAATGCATTCCTGTGATTGGAGGTAATGAGTTCCTGTAAATTTAGGCTTTAACGGACTCCTTGATGGCACTGTTTCAAGGTCTCTTATTGAACGTGGTTTCATACGGAGCTTTTCTCCATATTCGCAGGATTATGGAGAGTATTATGTGCTATGGTGCAATCAATGTTACGCATCACCTCATCATGCAGATCCCACCACCACTTGCTACCTCTCATATTAATAATGACCCCCAACCCATTTGCTTATTACCGGCGATCATACCTAGTACTTCATCCCTTCTTCTTACATAACTTCCCATCGACTATCAACATCATGTCTTTTACAACAACAGTCACCGCGGCACCCCCGCCTGGTCAACCAGATATTGCTTACGCTCCAAACTATGAAAACTACCAAGCCAGGACAGCCAAGCGACTCAAAGAGGGGAACCTCACGACCTCGGTCCCGGATGGTTTCCCAAAGCAATTGACAGGAGATCTTGTCTGGGAAGGCGATTCAATTGGCCAGCATTATGACTGGACTTATAAATTGTCTGAGGACCAGCTCGGCGAGATTGGTCAGGCTTTACACCATTTCAGAGGTATTTTGATTGACAGCTATATACCCCTCATCTAACACAACTAGGTCTTGGTCTTTCACTTGGACATATCTCGGCAGAGACATTTCCTCTACCAAATCTTCACTCCGAATTGCGGAGGCTCTCTGATGAGCTACACAAAGGCCACGGTTTCTTCGTCATCCGCGGCGTCAACGTAGATAACTACACCCGCGAAGAAAACGCCATAATTTACGTCGGTATTTCTTCACACATCGCATCACAGCGCGGCCGTCAGGACAACAAGTTCAACGGCAAGCCCGCTGACGTTGTCCTCACGCACGTCAAGGATCTCAGCGCCGGTCAAGATAAGAGCGCAATTGGGAGTCCGGCTTATACTACTGACAGACAGGTCTTTCATACTGATTCGGGTGACATCGTGTCACTGTTTTGTCTAGAGACTGCGTTGGAGGGCGGTGCGAGTAGGATTGCGAGTACTTGGAGGGTCTATAATGAGTTGGCGAGGACGAGACCTGATTTGGTTCATACCTTGTCGCAAAATTGGGATGTTGAGAAGTAAGAGCTCTCGATGCTGTATTGCGACTTGGACTAGCTGACTCTTTCAGTTTCGCAAACCCGAATAAGAAGTTCACGAGTCGGCCACTTCTCTATCATCAAAAAGCAACCAATACACTGCCTGAGAGGGTTGCTTTGCAATACGCTCGTCGATACTTTGTCGGTTTTGGTGCACTTCCAAGAAGCCACGACATCCCACCCATCACCGAAGCCCAGGCCGAAGCACTAGATGCTCTTCACTTCTTGGGGGATAAACTAAGTGTTTCTACCAACTTTGCCAAGGGCGATATGCAGTTCATCAACAACCTCGCTGTATTTCACGCTCGAGATGCATTCACAGACTCACCAACGCAACAGTAAGTCTGGTGCTCCAGTTATTGAATACAAGCTAACGATACAAGGCGCCATCTTCTTCGTCTCTGGCTGACAGATCCTGAAAATGCATGGGAGACTCCGGAACCGCTGCGTGAGAGGTGGGCAGAACTGTATGAGGGTGTGACTCCAGATGCCCAGGTGTTTCCGCTAGAACCCTATATTCGTAGTGCTAGTAACAGGGCCAGATAGAGGCTTGCGTGGGGAACTTGAGCGATGAATATGTACTCAACCATTGCTTATCGTCACCTGCATATTCGATGCCACCCCTTTGCTCGTATTGAGAAAGACTCACAGACGATTGCGGATAACCACCAACAAGTGAAACATCTCTTAGTCCTTGTACAAGCAGAACACGTTGCTGATCTCAGCCACTCTTGATGTCCTGCCTGAGATTCAAGATCTTATCGACCAAGACCGCATTCATGAAGCCGAGAAGCACAATAAAATAAATAAAATAGACAGCTTACTTTTCTTGATTAAGATATAGATAGGTTAGACAGGCACGATCAATCCTCATCGGTTGTCCAAGACGAGATCAGCGGTTTAAGCCTATCCTCGGCAGGCGCCGCTCTCCGCAATTTCGCACTGCCTGAGATGACTCATCCTCTTAGCATGCACACAGCGAGTCGATCAGGCTCTTTCGAACCTTCAATCCTACGGATTGGGCTCGTGATCTGTTTTTAGAACAAAAGTCAAGCGAAGATGAACATCACTGATAGACTCCTTACATCGCAAGAACGGCAGAAGCTGAAAGAAGAGCTGCTAGCAACGAATGATGACTTCATACGACAGATCCCAAAGGTCGAAATGCACATCCACATCGATGGAATGGTCACACCAGAGCTGAGATGGAAACTAGGCCAAAGAAATGGATTAGAAGTGCGCATGGGAAACGACAAGCCCGTAATAAAATCTCTCGGCGACTTGAAGAAAGCCTACGCATCCGTCATCTCAACTTCGAAGCGCCACCAGTATCAACATCTCGATCCGTCTCTGATTCCACCTACCTTCTTCGAAGCTTACTACTCTAGCCATGACGTCCTTCGAACGCGACAAGACTTTTATGACGTCGCGATGGCGTATTTTCGAGGTGCTTCGGAGATGAATGTGCGATATTGTGAAGTGTTTTTTGACCCGCAGGCACATACGAGCCGTGGTGTTTCTTGGGAAGATATGATGGGAGGACTTCGTGATGCGCAAGATGAGTCGGCCAAGACCCTTAATGTAAGACTCATATGCTGTATTTGATGGATAAGTCTAAATTGCCGAATGCTAGGTCAAATCTGCTTGGATTATGTGCTTCCTTCGCGATCAATCTCCAGAGTCTGCAATGGAACACTATCAAGCAGCGCTTCGATATCGAGATATGATTATCGGTATTGGACTCGATTCAAATGAACACAAACGGCCTCCTATTCTATTTAAGGAAGTCTTCCAGCGGGCTAAGAAAGATGGTTTCAGAATCACAGCACATTGCGACGTCGGTCAGCAAGACACGCATCAGAATATTCATCAGCTCATCTCACCGTCCGAGGGAATTCTCACACATCGCATCGACCACGGTCTAAACGCAGCAGACAAGCCAGAGCTTGTGGAACTTATCACGAGCCAAGGCATCGGCATGACAATCTGTCCCTGGGCTTATCTGCGGCGCTTCAATCTCGAGGAAACGGGCCGTCGTCTGCGGACGTTGATTGATGCAGGTGTCAAGATTTGCATTTCCAGCGATGACCCTCCGTTAATGGAAGGCACGTGGGTTATGCATAACATACTGCTCGCCAGAAAGTTGTGTAACTTGACCGAAGAGGATATTGTGCAGATGATGAAAGATGCGGTGGAGATTTCTTGGGCGGACCAAGACGTGAAGACAGAAATCTTGGCAGAGCTTGGAGGGGATTCATATAGATCCGGGATTGAAAGATAGCCAGTCATTACCGTCAGCGTGACAGGGACTTGTCGTGGGGTGCAAAATAAGTCCACCATTTATTCATTCAACTGACTACTAGTAAAGGCTCTTAATAAAAGATTCAACAGTATAGACTTTCCGGTTACTTATGATAACAATATCATACTCGATGAGTTCAAGGATTAACAATTTTCCTTGCAAAGCTTGCTGTTGGCTACTCAGTCACTTCGAGTCAACGATATAGCGTCAGTCGAGCCGGACAGGCCGAGGCCAAGAGAAGCCACTTCCCCAGACATCCAGCCCACCCACGGCCTTATGTCCAATTAACTGATATCTAGATCCTTTTTCTCCCTGCTAACAACACGTATCTGGAAAAACCGCATACGCGTCGCAGGCTAACTCAGCTTTCATGGATCTTGAACCCGCCCTAAGCTCCACATAATGAGATACGGCTGGAGATTACCGAAGAGACCCTGAGCTGAGCTTTTCAAAGGTCCTTTATGCATTATAAAGCCTTATCGGGCCCAGTCCTACCTGTTGGCGGACCGACAAGTGGTCCAGACGCCAAGTGTCTAGCCAGGAGTACCGAGACAACGGACCCACGATAAGAGTCTCGATCACGACCGAAACCGAGAAGGGCAGTCATTCATACGGGCTCAGCTGAAGAGTGGAGGGCATGATCAAAATTGTCAAAGTTAGATCTGCGAAATCGGAACCCTTGCATAAGCACGGTTGGGAAATGGCAAAATGTTTCAAAACGTCGATTCGGCACTTCTATTTTTACTAAACCCGCCTACCTAGTGAACTCTATTTTCCTGAGACCAGCTGAAACATAATCATACAAAGAAGAATAAAACAATAAAAACCGGAAAAAAAGTCCCCGATCGATAAGACCCAACAAAAGTGCCTTATCCCAAACCAAATCCTTAAAACGTTAGTCTGTTTACTGTGGCTTTATCTTAATCCCATTCGCCTCCAGAAATCTACACAGGTCCTGGCAGCTGTCAAGTAAAGTCTTCTGGGGCTTCCATCCCAGTTGAGTCATAGCTCTTCCAGGATCGGCGACACAAACTCCGACGTCACCTTGGCGACGTCCCACTTTCAGCACGGGAATCTCTCTCCCTGAAGCAGCCTTCATAGCCTCAACAACTTCGTATACTGTCTGACCAGTTCCGGTACCAATATTGAAGGTCTGGTAGCCTTGGCCTTCTTCCACGCTAAGGGCGGCAAGATGACCCCTGGCGAGATCAGAGACATGGATGAAATCTCGGATAGCCGTTCCGTCTCGGGTATCCCAATCTGTACCGAACACTTGCAGTTGGTGCATCTCGCCAAGCATGACCTTAAGGAGGACTGGCATCAAGTTGGTTGGTGCAACACGGGGATCTTCTCCTAAGCGTCCAGACTCGTCACAGCCAATTGGGTTAAAATACCGTAAGGCCGTGATAGTCCACTCTGGATCCGCAAGAGCCAAGTCAGATAGAATAGCTTCACAGATCCATTTTGTTCTTCCATATGGATTCGTGAGACCCGTGCACCCCTGAAGAGTTGTTTGATCCTGGCCACTAGCATCGCGCCACTCCGTTGTAGTATGAGCACAAGACTCTTCAACTAGGCGTCCACCTGCATCTGCGAGTGAACCATATACAGTAGCTGACGATGAGAAGATCAGGTTCTTAATATTGAAGTTTGATAATATGTTGCAGAATCTGATGAGTCCACCGACGTTGTTGTCGTAGTATTTGAGCGGTTGCTCAATACTTTCTGAGACAGACTTGTATGCAGCAAAGTGAATCACTCGTTTGATTTGAGATCCAGAAGGTGAAGAGTAACGAGAGAGAATCTCCTGGATTTTAGTATTGTCTCGAAAGTCCGCCTCGTAGAAGTGAAGATCTGGACGGCCACTGTTGCTGAAGCGTTGGTCCGTCATGTCGTTGAGTGTATCAAGAACATTAACAAAAGCATTGCTCAGGTTATCGATAACAACGACATTACTTCCGTCTTTGAGGAGCTCCCAGGTTGTGTGGCTGCCGATGTAGCCTAGACCACCAACGACGAGGACGTACTCATCTGGAGTTGTACGGATGGGAGATGGAGGACGACTGAATAGGATGTCTTGTTCAGTTGCAGGAGTACTTGGTCGAGAAGATGACTTCAATGACTGGGCAGTGCTTGTGAGTGGGGTTGTAGTGCCTGAGGACAATACAAGGGAATCCATGATGTCAAGGCTTGGGGATAACAAAGAGAGACACAGGTTCGGTATACTGTATAACTGAGCTGATGGAGCCAATTCAAGAACTTTTCCTGTGGCAAGTGGTACTCCTCGTTTCAAACCTGAATTCAAGTGGCTCAAGAGTGGTTTATATATCCCCATCTCGAATAACAACCCTCGAAGAACAACGCCGAACAACAACAATTTACTCAACAGTTCTAACTAAAGGTTTTCGCCATGGAAAATTTTCCAATGATTCCACAACCTGACTGAGAACCCCATTGTAGCTTCAACGCAAATCGAAGTCGAAATTCAAAGCTGGGATAGTCTCCATAGCGGCCTCGAACAGAACGGGGAATCTGATGGATGAAACAGGTGATACAGACGTCAGAGACCTCTACTCCTGTGTTCTAGATGCGTTGCGGTACCGTTCCGTCTACACTAACAGCGTGCACGTTCATCTCGTGATGCTAACGGGCTATCCACTTAGTCACTTTGTTAATGCCCTGTCTGGGAATAGGACACAACGATTATCATGGTCCGCGTCATTGCAAAGTACAAAAATCAAGACTTTGTTACGCTAATTATTTTCTTCTAAAGACAATTTGACTGAGAATTCAACTAGGAAGGATCATTTGTACTAACAAAACAGCAGATATTGTCCACCGAACGATGACGTACTTAATTTCTATATCAGAGCCAAACCTAAAGAAAAAGAAGAAGAAACCGTTAATGATCCGCTGTCTATGATTCCGCCGTTCCTATCGTTTCCCTCGGTACTTTCGGAAGGTGGAGAATTTATGTAGACAACGGCCGGCCATCCCGGGGGAAAGGCTAAGGTTATAAGCGAGGTGGGTTCGCCATGTGGCAGACCGTTGAAACTTTATCTTCGCCCACTTTGCCGAACGGGGGTTCATTCATTGGGAAAGCCATCGTGATCTAGTCTAGATTTGCTCCTTTTGGCAATGCTGACCGATCTGGAGAGCTGGCGGTTCAGCTGTAATACCCTCGGCTCATCCGCAAGTGCAGCTCTTGATGTTCTCGTCATACGATTTTGCTAAGATGAGGCTGTTAGCAATTTTCTTTTACAAAATTCGCCGATGTGGATATTTTCTGTTTCTTTTAGTTATTAGATAGTCTTGGTGTAGGAATAATTTACAAGTTGTTCGTGCTCTTGGATAATGTCGCTCTCTTTCCACTGGTCAATTCATTTCTCTGTCCAGTCTTATCATCTCCTTACCTACCTTCTCTACAGTCACACTTAGGGAGTCCAATCGTTGAGATGGCTAGAAAAAGCACCAATCCTTTTTGGAGCAGGGAAGACCCTTCATATGAGGATCTGACACTTCCCTGCAATGCCAGACTGGATCCCCCAGTCCCAGATCTTCACCCAAATCAACCTCACCCAATTCTCCCCAATAGCCCTTCTACACACTCTCTCAGCAATCCTTTTGCAACTCCCCCATCAAGTCCCTCTATCAGCCCAATATCTACACCACCACCAGCCATATCCCCAGACAGAAGCTCCCGCAAAGTTGGCATTTATGGTTCTTCCTCTTCCTCCCTAAGCCGCTTATCCGACGAAAGTCTCACCAGCAATCTTCTTCAATCTCAATCTTCCAAAAAGCTATCACTATGGACTAGATTCTGGCGCTCGCTGAACAATCAGTTCTCGCCCAAGGCCTTCTGGGAACTCATCCATCCGAAGGAGTACATCTACCCCATGACATTCAAGAAAGGCGCCGCACTTGTATTCGTCATGTCTTGCGTTGCTGCGCTTGTTATATCGAACTGGTTCACTGGTTGGATGGGAAAGGCCATTGCTCAAACGCGAAGTTACATGCTACCTGTTCTTGTCATTGTTCTGACTCTTGAACCTCTTATGTTTCTTATAATCTTGTCTATTGCAAGGGTTCCACCATACAACCCTCCCAAGACGGCTTCCTTACCAGTTGCTGAGGAGGTTCTGAGTGAGAAGAATCCGGATGATCTGGAGCGTGGTTTGGCGGTGACGGAGGCTTGGGAAACTGCCTTTGTCATTCCCTGTCACAACTCAGATCGCGAAGCTTTGAGAAAGGTGATAGAGTCCGCCTATCCCCATTTTAGGCCTCAAGACATCTTCATCATCGATAACGGTCGATCTCGACATCCACAAGACCTCTCCTTCCGCCACTGGCTCAAGAATCTCCATCCCGACCTCGTCTACATCTGGTCGCCCATCGGTTCAAAGAACGCAGCTCAACTCGTCGGTTCTCTAGCAGCCAAGGACTACAAGTACATCCTAACAACCGACGATGACGTCTCCCTCCCCGAAAACTACCGCCATCCTATTCATCTTATGAACGACCACCTACGCGCCGTTGCTTTTCCTCTTGCAGGAACCGACGCAGATGGTAACACCCCCCTTGGCATGGTCTCTTGGCAAGACTGCGAGTACCGTATGGCTGGTCTTGTCAAACTCGCTGAGGATCGCACATGTGGTGTTAACTTTCCCCACGGCGCTGGATGGTTCGTTGATCGCGATATATTCGTTGAGCTCCTTTCGAAATATCATCCTATGGATTTTATCGCGGAAGATGCGAATGCTGGGTTTTCCATTATGCGTCTCGGGAAGGGTATTGCTTTTGATGCTCAGGTTACGCTTGCGACTGAGGTTCCGGCGACTGTGCTTGGTCCGGGGCTGAACTGGTGCAAGCAGAGGATCAAGTCATGGGAGATGGGAAGACATAGTCTGATCTGGAAGATAATGCGTCACCTATTCCGCATGAACGGCCAACGGACTATCCAAGGAGTTCTCATGCAGAAGGGACTCTTTCTTTACATATTGGCCTGTCTAATCATCGACTGGGTCCGCATTCCCGTCCTGGTCGCTCTGGGCGCACACAAGGAATACTGGATCTTCTTCTTCGGTCTCGCCTTTGTCGCGTGTCTTCCTCCCCTTCTCTACAACTATCTTAGTTGCTGGCACCGTCCTGATATGCGCATTGGACTTGTTACAATTGCTACTTATCCAGTTTACAAGCAGCTGTATAGTTTTGTGTCAGTCTTTGGCGCTGTTCGTTGGGCGCTGTTTTATATCGGGGGACATGTTAGAGCGAAACCTATTCGGAAGATGCTCAAGGATGGAGATGAAGCATGTTTCTGGCTGGATCCCAGATTCGAGACGAATCCTGCTTGGTTGGCGGATGAGAAGGAAAAGATGCTAGCTGATGAATTGGCAATGAGAGTTGTCAGATCAACATAATAACGAGGTTACACTGTTGGGGTCAACTATCCATAGAATGAATTTCGCCGACCATCAGGCACCCCTTCCCTGGCTATAGTCTACTGGTCGAGTTTGGAATAATGCATGGCCACTACCGCGCAGCTAGTGATATATGAGATAGTGTTCCGTCAAATGTTCCTTACGATCCAAACGATATCAATCGAGTGCACGCTGCTCCTCGTGGCCGTCTGTCACATGATATAAGCATCGCTTATAGAAGGCTAGCAGTTTCACCATGGCTGAAGGTAAGCGATCGCAATCTCCACGCTTCCAATAGCTTCCTCAGTCACAATCAATTATTCGGTTCTAAACTCAACTTTCGCGATGCTTCGGTAGAGTTACACCAAGCGTGTCACTGTATTCAATATGGCGTTACATCAAAAACACTGTCAGGCTTCCATCAGGCTTCCAAGTTGACATTTCCAACGTCTGTGCATGATGCAGCCAATTTCCGAACTGATCTGATCTTCCATGCCCGCCAAGAGCGGGAAGTGGTCCCGTTACATCATACCAATTTGCCTCTTCAGCTGCATCAACCGTCTACCATGACCAAAGTCACAAGCCATACTACTATTTCAAGCTCAACTCCTTCGATAACTCTCCATCGGAAGGTATTCACAACGATTTCTTCCGCTTACGTAGTATTTAACCCAAAAAAAGAAAAAAAACCTGCCTCTGATCCATTTCCAAGTTGCCTAGCAACTGGATCCTCCTCACCCTTGCACTCGATACGAGCCTTAGCTCATGCTGCTAAATTTGGAGTGGCGCTGCTGATAGGCCAAGACCCCCGGATTAACCCCTTAATGCGAGTCCTAGCGGGCCCTAGCCAGAGACAAAAACTGACCCCGACCCGTCCCGTGCTAAGCCCATCCCTCAGCCGACGCGTAACTTTTCTGTTCCTCCATCATCATCACCAACATTCATTAATTCTTTTGACCTTCTTCAACCACAATCGCTATTCTTCCAAGTTTTAATACAATACACTTTTTCACCAAACACAAGCCGTCATCATGTCTTCCACAACCCTCAGCACCGCCAGCGCCGTCCCCACGGCCTGCACAAACCTCTATGACACCCCCAACCAGGACAACACCTGCGCCATGCCCTTCAAGGACAACCACACCGAGATCATGCAGAAGTGCTGCGGTGACGCCAAGATCGTGAGCTACTACAACGGCTGCGGCCTCTACTGCGTCGCCCTCGACCAGACCATCGGCGAGCTCGCAAAGTGCCTCTTCGCCAACGGCGCCCCCGACGCCGACGTCTTCTGCAGCGGCAGCAAAAAGACCACAAAGACAAAGGACGCCGACGTCCCCGCTACCGCCCAGGCTAGCGTCATCTCCGGCGACGATGATAAGGATGATGATGACAAGAGCTCTACTGGTACTGCTTCTGGTACCTCCACCAGCACCGGTACCAGCTCTTCCAGCTCCGAGACTTCTACGGAGAGCGGAAACGCCGCTGCTGGCTTCGCTCCCAAGTCTAGCATCAACACCCTTGGCCTTGCCATTGGTGCTCTGCTCTTCTCATCCATGGCTGCTGGTGCTTTCCAGCTGTAAGCAGCTACCTACCAGTGGATTTTTTTGCTTCGCTCATTCTATGTCGATAATTTGGAAACGGTTCAAGTAATGGTTGCGTGCATCTAGCATTTGGGCGGTGCGTAAAATATTGATGGATATCATAATTGGTCTTATGCGCTTTGGAAAATGGAAATGTATACTTTAATTAGCAGTCTGTCGCTTGATATACAAATTGCTCACCCCAGCTTGTTTACCCCATTGTCGTGACTCGTGCAGCCTCCACTCGTAAGCGAGGGATGGGCTCAGGTAATCGTGATCGATCAATGGAACGCAGGCAGTGTAACGTCGTGCGACGTCATTGAATCATGTGCAGACCATGTGTTGACTGGAAATGGCTTGCCAAGGCAAACGGTTCAAAGTCAATTCCACGAGGCCGTTTGCGATGTGATCCGGGAAGACGGGTCGGTAAAGGACGATACGAGGGATTCGTGCTGATAAAATACCACCGCTTTGGGATGTGATCTTGCCCAAAATTGCTTCATCTGAAGGATCCTTTGGAAGAATGAATTGCGATAAACTTTCGTCGTCGACAGGAGTCTTTTGCCGGATATCCGCGCTTCCAAGACAATGAATGTCACGCCAGTAAGAGTACAGGGTAACCACGACATTTTGAAGCAATTGATCAATTGATACTTCGATACGACTCAACAGATCCCTTCAGTTTTTCCCGGTGAATCAACGAGGGTCATATTGATTGCCATAGCAGAGTTGCTCGTAGCTTTCTTCTTTTAGACTGTAATAGTGTCCGACAAAACAACTATCCAACATTCATTTCATTGCGATCAGCGACACCAGTAGCTTCACCAATACTGGCAGTCAATAAGGAAAACGCAGGCAAAATGAAAATGTCTCAGTAATTGTTAGAGCCTCCTTCTCCTATTTCCGCATTCTTCCAGTCCTCGCCCTAAATCTTACCCAATTATTCCCATCGTCATAGACATCTCATAACCCCATTCCAACAATCGCGGCTCGGCTCCGCCCCCTCTTTCTTCACCACTTCACATTCCATCGCAACATCTCTACAAAGAGGGTAGCTAGGCAACATCCTTGCAGTGTCTCACGTGTCTCTTCTTCGCCAATTAGCCTCGGACTCGGGAGCCAAAGCTTGTTCCTGAGACACAAATCCTGCATTCCACCTTGCTCAAGAAATGAGAAGTCTCCAGAACTGGCGATGCAGGGGAATTATTTACTGCGGGCTGGTTTGTTTGATCTCCGTGCGAGCTACGGCGCTAGGTCACCTTACAAGGCTGGAGGGGACTGGGGTTAGAAAGGGAGGGAGATCCTGCAGGCGGGCAATTCACTGCATGCTTTCGTTTCCATTCCTCACGTTTGCTATACGACGGAACGACGGGTCGCCGAGTGGTAGCCCGTGAGCGATGTCAAAGCTAATCATCACGACTTGAGTAATCATCAAGGTGCAAGAACCGTCACTAGGTTCTATTCCGCACTGCAATTGACTTCCGGATCCGAAAATTACCGTGATAACAAAAACCTTGCTTCAAGTGATTGACGTGATTAGGCGCGCTAGCACCAACGAGTCCCAACGCTTTCCAACGCTCCACCAAACGTCGAACCGCAAACGGCGCCCAACTGGGCTGCCGTTTAGTCCAAACGCTAAAGAATAAGCGCTGTCACTCTTGCGGTTTCCTTGAAATAGCGTAGGATAGATTCCCGTCGATAATCACGGACAAGTCTCTTTGCCCTTGCATCAGTGACATCCAGATCTCAATGTGCAGAACATGGTATTGTTTGCATGTCACCAGCCGGAGTAAATAATGAAGCTTGGGCCTGTTGTTTTGTTTAGCATGATGAACCGTCATAGAACCGTTGTACGATAGTATCATTACTCTCAATCAAGTCGATATCTCTCGTTGAATCCACTCATCGATCGTTGGAGACAACACATTAGACCGAGACATGACCAAATGACCCCATCGCCGGTTCCTTGTTTCCGGTGATCTGAACCACACCATATCTCCGCAACCATTCAGACAGGATCATCCCAAAAGGCTTACGGCAGGATCCCAAGTGCAACATCAACCACACACAAGAATTTCCCAGCCACATACCTAGCTAAGCAATTGCGGGAGAAACACTGTAAATTACCACTTACGCGTCCGAACTCCTGCAAGGCCTAGAGATCTCACTGGCTGTGTTCGTCCAGGTGCGGTTGTGACACTCGTTCTCCCCCCTACTGGACAAATCTCCTACGCCGTGTCTGAGCCCGAGCATGCCTTTTGAAATTTTGTTGCCGAAGCCACTAGATGAGGGGGTTTTACAGTACAGCCTGTTGTCACGGGCATTAATGGGGAAATATGATAAGTGGAAAGGATTGTTTGACTTTAGACTAAGGTATTGTACATTTCTTGTCTAGTCTTGGCTTGTCTCTGTTATCACCTCACCTGGGGGAGATATGTGCGGGTATAACTTTATTGCAATGGTGGTTTGACAACGACCTTGGCGTGGCTGGTCAACAAAAGCTTGGTACGCCTTGGAAAATTCGAATTCTTTTGCGTTGTAACTGGTATTATTTACAGGAGAAACCCGTTGTTGGAATTCGTTGGTGAAATTGCCTTATCAAGGGAGACATAGGGGGGCCGTTCCCATATCTTCAACACCCAAAAGCAAACACTCCAAAAATACGAAAGCAAAAAGTAGTAGCCCCAGCCGTAGTCTGCAAATAGCTAGACAGAAACCTTGAAGAATGGAATACTATCGTCCAGACTGGTTTATCGTGCCTTTGCTGGTGAGACATTTTCTCTTTTGGCCCACACCAGGTGGAGTGATGGTATCGCCCTTGCATGCTTTCGGATCTAGCAACCGTGCATGAGGAATGTTTGCATGCAGGAGACCAATATTCCCAAGGGCGAGTAGCCCAAATACCATGGAGTGAGGAATTGTTGATGCGATGTGCAAAATCTGTATATATAGAGGCTGGTGTTCTTGTCCAGAATATTCTCATCTCATCCTCACTCTCAATCTTCCCATCGAGGACCAGGTTCATTCGTTTACAAACCAAATTCATTCATTCTTTAATACATTCGCTCAATAAGCAAAAAACCTAATCATGCGTTTCTCTACCGGTCTGCTCCTGGCTGCGGCCTCGAGCGTCATGGGTCAGCGGTTCACCAACTCCAGTATCCCTGCTACTGAGTCCGCTACCACCACCTCAGACGTTGCTCCCACCGGCTCTGCTGAGGCTGCTCAGCCTGTCGATCTCAGCGGTGCTAATCTGGGACCCGGTGCCTCGTTCGTCACTCGCCCTGATGGAAGCATCGCTATGTAAGTCTACTTCCCAACGGCCCGCGACTTAGTCACAAACTCTAATCAACCGATAGTGCCCTGGTCGCTGGACCCAATGGCGTTGCTTCCTTCTCCATTGGTATTCCCGATGATGTTTTCTCCAGCTTCCCCGCTGGAAACTTGTTCATTATCCTCTGGGAGATCCTTGTTGAGCTCATTGAGACACAGAAGCGTGCTGAGACCGACTGCACTCTTGATGTCACTGTTGACGGTGAGAGCGTCTTCTCCGAGGGTCTCTCCACCGGCTCTGGCTCCAAGAGCTCTGACAGCACTTCTTCCTCTGGTAGCTCCCCCAACGTCGAGTTTGTTCAGTCTTGTGGTGCCACCTCCTCTCGTCTCGAAGTCTCTGATCTTGCTGTCGGTCCCCCTGGTTCCAGCAACCCTGGTGGCGGCAACGGTGGCGGCAACGGTGGTTCTACTGACACCACTGGCACTGCTGAGCCTACCAACACCAACTCCGAGGGCGCTACTACCAACTCCGAGGGTCAGACCATCGAGCCTACTGGCACTGAGACTGCTACCAACTCTGAGGGTGCCACCACCAACTCCGAGGGCGAGACTGTCTTCCCTACTGGCACTGAGACTGCTACCAACTCTGAGGGTGCCACTACCAACTCCGAGGGCGAGACCATCCAGCCTACCGGTACTGAGACCACTGCTCCCACTTCTTCTGCTTCTTCTGCTCCTGGCTTCCCCGGCTCCATCGGCGACTTTGCTTTCTTCGGCTGTGTCGGTTCCACCGATGGCTTCCCTACCTTCGAGCTTCTCCAGACTTCTGGCTCTATGGACCTCAACCTCTGCGCCAGCCTCGCTGAGGGCCGTGCTTACTTCGGTGTCCACGATGAGGAGTGTTATGCCGGTGACGAGATCGACGGTGACAACACCAGCCGTGTCGACTCTGACCAGTGTGACATCGAGTGCCCCGGTGACGACTCTGAGTTCTGTGGTGGTGATGCTCCTCTTGCTCGCCGCAGCCGCATCCACGCCCGCCAGGCTATCCCCAACACCATCCGCCTCACTGTCTACGTCGCTGTCAACGGCCCTGATGTCACCCTCACCGATGTCCTCACTGCTACCGTCACTGATCAGTCTACCCTGACCACCACCTTCACCACCACCATCTCCGATGCCACTGCCACCCAGACCCAGACCGTCACTGCCATCTACGTCTGCTCCAACGGCAAGTGCTACCCCGAGAACGACAGCGGCTCCAAGGTTGTCTTCATCTTCGTTGGTTACCCCGGTGAGGACTGCGACGGCGAGCTCGTCTACATCTCTGAGGCCTGCTCTTGCCAGGGTGGATCTCAATACGTCCCCAAGTACTGCTCTAACGGCAGCTGCCACGGCCTCACTGTCTACAAGCCTGAGGAGTGCAAGGACTGGTACAACCACGACAACTTCTTCGTTCCCGCCAACTGCGATGTCTGCGAGCACGGTGATATCGTCTACAAGCCTTGGGAGAACTCCTGGGGTACCCCCGCTGAGTGCCACGAGGCTGAGATCCCCAGCTGCACCAAGGATACCTGCCCTACCAACGGCGGTGGCTCCAAGGGAGGCAATGGCGGCAACGGCGGAAACGGTGGCAACGGCGGAAACGGTGGCAATGGCGGCAACGGTGGAAACGGAGGTAACGGCGGCAATGGAGGTAACGGTGGAAGCGGAGGCAACGGTGGATCCGGCTCCAACGGTGGCTCTGGTTCCTCTGGTTCCAACGGCGGCTCTGGCTCCTCTGGTTCCAACGGCGGCTCTGGCTCTGAGGGCTCTGGCTCCAAGGGCAGCTCCGGTTCCGAGGGCTCCGGCTCCAAGGGCAGCTCCGGATCTGAGGGCTCCGGCTCCAAGGGCGAGAGCGGCTCCAGCTGCGAGGGTGACCACTGTGTCCCCGTCACTGTCAGCAGTGCTGGCAAGCAGGCCGTCAGCGCCCTTGCTCTCCTCGCTGCTGTTGCCGCTCTTCTCTAAGCGGCTTGATACAGCTTGAGTTTCTGATCTTGAACCTTTGCCTTCCTTTCTGGGTTTCTCTTTGGGAAGATCCGCAATACAAATGGTGGCATTGTCTTGTGCCACTGACTTTGTAGTTAGACTTAATGCAGTTTCAATTCTACCGGGGTTTTGGGAAATGGCCTATCTGTAGTCAACTAATAATGACGTTCTTTTTGCTTTCAACCATCATTACCTGCAACTGTGACTGTTACCTTTGACAACCACATGAGATCCTTCTTCGAAATTGTGTGATTTGAATGATGTGCTGGGCATGCACTGTTTCGCCTGACTCTTGTATTGTTTATGTCTCAGTCAACATGCACACCTGATGGAGCTTGAAACACGTAAAGAATGTGACTCTCCTTGCAGGTAGCCTGTGAGATACTCAGCCTTGCTAATTACTGAGGTACTCCTAAAGCAAACCTGACAAGACAAGAATGCAGTTTCCGAAGATGTGACACTGAAACCATGGAGTATAGTTATCACTGCACTACACTCACTCCTGATACACATGTAACAGTGACATTTACAAGAATGTTCATCATGTTAGTCATCAGACTTCTAAGCTCCTCAACTAAGACGAAGATCCACTAGAGGATGAGCCGTCAGACAAGCTCTCATTTGCCTCATCAGCATTCCAGCCACTTCCAGAATTGCTACCTCCCTCTAGCATATACCTCAGCGGAGCTGTCCTCATATGCTGGGCCGTGCTGTTCCTTTTTGGTAGATCCTCCTTATGGCAATCAGACTTCCACTCTAAAGACATTTTGAAGTGCCTACTCTTCGTTAGTCAGATTCCTCGATGAATAGGGCGAGGAGACTTGCCAGAGATAGACCAGTATCTTGACAGATTGGATACGCTTTGACCTTTGGCAGTCGCAAACTTACAAAAGAGCTGGTTAATATTGGTTCTTATTTCAGATGTACTGCGAGGAAGAGCCGCTCTTTATAGACGCTGGCATCAGAGGGAAGATGGCTTTACAACCACAGATACCCAGGGAAGCCAAAGCCAGATACGGCTTTCAGACGTGTCATTCTGTGTTATGGCGTAAACACTACATCTGCACCTTGTAAAGGGAGAGGTTTTATAGGTCTGGTTCTTTGTAGTGGTGTCGTAAAGTGCAAGTAGGCTACCTATAAGATGCAGTGGTGCACACCCTGGGTGGCCTCAAAATATTCTTGGGCATGTGGTGAGTTATCTAGGGGAGGAATAAGAAGACATAGATAACCTAGGATAAGTTTAGGATACCTTTTGCTGAGTTATTTGACACGCCATATCAAGGTCTGATGTTTTCTTGCTCCCTGAAAGTTATCTTCATTTTACATCGATGACCACGCAGGATGAAGATTCAAGCTAATAACAAGAACCTGCACCTTCGCCTTACTGTTGAACCACTGACAAGGCTCAACGTCCTCGAAAATAAAATATTTTGATATCATGATGATCTGATTGAAGCAGTCACGCCCGTAATTGTTTCGATTATGCTAATGACATAGTATTGCGATGCTCCAAGTATCTGAAGTGCTTTGTGTCCAGTTGGCTATTATCCGCTTGCTATTCGGACACAAGTCTATCTACACAACCCACGAACAATCTTGCGATATCAAGCGACATGCCTGCTCTTGGCAATAATTTTCGCTTACACCATGCCCCCCACTAGTAAGAGATAAACACGCAACCTGGCAGAATTACCAGATCCGTTAATTTTCCCTGTCAAGCCTGATACATTCGCGGTCGGTCCGCCTCCACCAGCAAATACTCCCGTGAAAGAGGTATAGATCTGAGCAGGCGGTCGCATGATAATAAAGCACATAATCGCTGGTGATAAAGATATAAGCTTAACCTGCAAGCGTCGGGGCTTGGCCGACGGATATCGCCCGTTTGGGAGAATGTCGTTCTTTGGGCGGCGAATGACGCGAGAACTGCAGATGCTGGAGTGACCCGCTAAATTCCTATCTCGAGTTTCACATCTGTCATGGTTTGTCGGGCTGGGGATGAGGTCAAGACAGGGTCGTGATGGTATATAACCCTGGGCCGTCTTTTCATGAATGGATATTCGCATTGTTTGTTGTCAGTGTATATACTCATTTCTTTGAGAAATAGCTGTGATCATGGCGACTGTCACTGCTGAACGGACAGATACAGCTGAGACTGTAACATATCCTCCTCAAACGGGCATCTTTAAGCATATCTCCAAAGCGATACCTTATTTTCGCAACCCTAGACATGTCTTGATTCTCAAGCTTGACTGTCTTCTTCTGACATGGACTTTCATCGCTGGTATCATGAAGGAGATGGATCAGTCTGCAACGACGCAGGCTTATGTTTCAGGAATGCGAGAAGCTTTGGGTCTGTACGGCAATGAGTTGGTCTTTTTCAACACCTACTTCTCTATCGGATATGCTATTGGACTTGTTCCTGGACAATTGGCTCAGACGAGGGTAAGTTAAAAGAAACCTAGCACTTCGTTCAGCGCTAATCAGTTCCAGGTCCGACCATCTCTGTTTTTACCAACTTGTGAGATAATTTGGGGTCTCTTCGTCATCGTGTAAGTTTCCGCTCCTAGCTTTTTCGATCATGATTCACTTACACAGACAACAGCACCTGTAAAGCCCAAAACGCAACAACCGTCTACGCCCTCCGCTTCTTCCTTGGGCTCTTCTCAGCCGTCTTCTGGCCCAGCGTCGTCTCCCTCATCTTCAACTGGTACACCCCCAAAGAACTCGCCTTCCGAATCGCCTGCTTCAACGTTTCCGACGTCGCGGGAGCCATGTTTCTCGGTGCCCTCCAAGCCGCTCTATACCGTAACCTAAACGGTGCTCACGGAATCGCCGGCTGGCAGTGGCTGTTCATTGTTTCGGGCGTCATCACCATCGCCCAGGGAATTGTTGGCTTCTTCATCATTCCTGATACGCCTGCGTACACACGTGCCAAGTGGTTGACGGAGGATGAGAAGAAGTTATCTCGTGAGCGTATGGCGGGCTTTGGCGCGAATACGTCGAAACTTATCCCTCCGGCTGTTCTGAAGCAGAAGCTGCGCAAGTTGATCGTTCATCCTGTGACGTACTTTTTTCTCGTTGCTTTTGCTCTGAGTGCTTGGGCACACCGCGCCACTTCCTACTTTGTCCTTTACATCGAAAGTCTCAAAGATGAAGCTGGTAATCGTATGTACAGCACATACCAGGTCAATGTCCTTCCGCTGGGCGGTTATGCTCTGCAGATTGTTTCCAATCTTATCCTGAACGGCTTATCGGATTGGAAACACTGGAGATGGCAGATCAGCACTGGATCTACATTCTCGTTTGGTGTCTTGCTTTGCGTTCTTTGCGCCTGGCCTTCAGATCAAAAGGTCGTTATGGCATTCTACTTCATGACCTACGCCGCTAACGCTGGCGCTCCATCGCTGATGGCGTGGTTTGCGGAACTTTTGCGAAAAGAGCCTGAAGCGAGAGCAATTATTGTTGCGATCACAGTTATGATTGTGTATATCGGTCATGCAACGATTCCACTTCGTGCTTTCAGAGTTGCCGACGCACCACAGTATCCTATTGGATTTCCACTGGCTACAGCGATGTCTTTCGCCTCGGTTTTTGTCCAGCTTGGTCTGCTATGGTGGGCTCGTAGAAATCCCCAGCTTGTCAAAGGTGGTTATGAAGGTACTACGATCGACTCGAGAGTGTCCGATGAGGAAAGCTCTGGAAGTATTGGCGATGGAGTAAGCGAGCGGGAGGATGGACATGGAGAGAAGACTGCAGCTCCAGTGGTTTCAAAGGTCGACCAGTAGAAGTACCATGATGTTCTTTGTACATAATTCAGTTTAAGATATACCCTCGGCAGATTCCGCTAGCAAATTTCCCAGTATCTCGTTCCAGTCTGAACATCCTCAAATGGAGGCCATTGCCTTAGTGAACATAAATCACGCATGTCTACAAAGAATGCTACCGTTTATTCTCCTTCCCAAAGAAGTAATTCGCTACATCAACTCTATGAGATGAAACCTGTGAGACTGGTCGGCTAAGAAATAAGCTTAATTCGACCAGGTCCAAGTGTAACATGACGCCCGCAGGCATGTCGGCTAAGTCACGTTGATCACAGTGATCTTATAGACTTGAGGCAAGATCATCGAAACAAAAAAGGCTACTTTCACGGAAGATCCGCATATACAAGAATGCCAGTCGGGTCCAGAGTATTGGATGTTTTGGACATTGCGGGAGCAAGAGCTGCTTGGGTTTACGCATCGATATCGAAAGGATACAGCTTCTCTAAAGCGATTTATTAGCTTTCAGCCCACCGTAGTCATGCTATACATATAATCTACTCACTATAACTCAAATTCGTGTTCTGTGGAATCTACACAACATCAACTTCAGCAGAAGCAGTCGTCTTGGTCGAATTCGAACCCCAGCAATTGAGAGATCTCCAGGCTGGCTTCAAAACACAATTACCGAAGACAGAAAGTCGATAAAGACTTATAAAATCAACATGTCTTTCCGCGATCCAGCATTGAAAGGATGGTCTATATCTTTAATCGTTGTGTTGTATGATGGTAAGAGTCCTCTCTCAGACACATCTCAACATGCAAAAAAGGATATAGAAGAGCTGTCTCTTTAGAACAATTTTTTTTCCAGCTTTTATTGTCGCCCTGATGCCATAAAGGATCGGGATCATACCTCGTTGTTATCTCGGATTTCCACTGGGAGATATTGAAGGGCTTGAAACTCTTCGGCAAGTGCCAGATACAAAAGATCGGGCGTCTCACGAATCTTGCTCGGCTCTGACCAGTAGCCTCTGAAATAGTGATAAATAATTCTCAGCCATGAACTTATTTCAAGATGACACCTTTGTGGTATATGGTTTAACGAGCTGGTCAGATTGACTACTTTCGAAAAGCGTCGAAACGTTATCTCTGCTCCTTTTGTAACAATTATCTTGTAAAGTCTACTTCAGCCATGGCATGCTTCTTGAATCATCTCTCACT